CAGAAATTAAAAACAAACAAACAAACAAACAAAAAAACACTGGTAGATCAAACACACAAAGAAGAAAAGATTAAAATGTTATGGCAGAAAAGCTCCACATCACAATAATAAGAGAACAAAGAGAACAAAACAAACAGAAATCAATTAATAAAATGACAGGAACAATCCCTCACCTATTAACAATAACCCTAAATGTAAACAGATTAAACTTTCTTCTTAAAAGGTGTATACTGGCTGAATGGATGAAAAAAACCACAATCCAACTATATGTTTCTTTCAAGAAACTCACCTCATCTGTGAAAACACATTGTGACTGAAAGTAAAGAGATAACAAAGACACTCCATGCTAACACAAACCAAACAAACAGGATTAGCTACATTTATATCAGATAAAACAGAGTTTAGGTCAAAAACAGTAAAAAGAGACAAACAAGGTCATTACATAATTGATAGAGATCAATTCAGCAAGAGGATATAACAATTCCAAACACGTAGGCACCCAATCCTGGAGCACCTAACCATATAAAGCAAATTTTGCCAGATGTAAAAGGATAGACTCCAATACAATAATTGTTCAGAACTTCAACATCCCACTGTCAGCATTAGCTCATTTGAACAAAAAGTTAATAAAGAAACATCGGATTTAAACTGGCTCATTTGAACAAAAAGTTAATAAAGAAACACTGGATTTAAACTGCATATTAGACCAAATGGACCTACACAAACAGAAGAGTTCACCCCATAGCTACAGAATTTTCTCAATAGCACATGAAACAATCTCCAGAATAGAATACACGTTAGGATACCAAACAAGTCGCAATAAATTTGAAAAAGTTAAAAAACTGCATAAAGTATCTTCTTAAACCATATTGAAATTAAACTAGAAATTAATAACAACAGAAACTTTGGAAACCGTACAAATAAATGGAAATTAAACAACATGCTTCTGAATGACCAGTAGGTCAAGGGAGAAATTAAGGATGAAATGAAAAAATTCTTGAAAAAATAGAAATGGAAACAGTGTAGCAAAGCTTATTAGACACAACAAAATCAGTGCTAACAGGGAAACTTACGGCAATAAAGATTACATCAAAAAAGTAAAAAGATTTCAAATAAACAATCATTTGCATCTTAAGGAAATAGAGAAAGAACAACAAATCAATATTAGGAGAAAGAAAGAAATAAGAAAAATCAGAGCAGAACTAAACAGAGACTAAAAAACAATAAAATGAAAACTTGCTTTTTTGAAAAGATAAACAAAATTGATAAACCAATTGCTAGACTAACCAAGAAAAAAAGAGAGAAGACCCAAACAAAATCAGAAATGATAAAAGATACAACTGATACCACAAAATACAAAATATCAGATACTATTATGAACAACTATACATTGACAAACTGGAAAACCTAGAGGAAATGAATACATTCTTGGAGACATGGCTCTATCAAGATCGAGCCAGGAAGAAATAGAAAATCTGAACAGACCAATAACAAGCAGTAAGACTGAATCATAATAAAAAGTCTCCAACAAAGAAAAGCCCAAGATTGGATGGATTCAAAACTAAATGCTACCAAACATATCAAGGAGAATTAATGCCAATCCTCCTGAAACTATTCAAAAAAATTTGAAGAGGAGAAAACTTTCCCTAACTCGTTCTACAAGGCCAGCATTACCCTGATACCAAAACCAGACAAGAACGTAACAAGAAGAAAACCACAGGCCAATATCCTTGATAAATATAGACACAAAAATTCTCAACAAAATATTAGCAAACCAAATCCAACACCACATCAAAAAATTAGTACACAATGACCAAGTGGGATTTCGACCAGGGATGCAAGGACATCACATGCAAGACACATGCAAATCAATAAAACTCTCAACAAACTAGGCAAAGAAGGAACATGTTAACACAGTAAAGGTCAGACATGACAAGCCTATAGCTAATATTCTATAGAATGGGGAAAAGCTGAAAACCTTTCTTCTAAGAACTGGATCTAAGAGAAGGATATCTATTTTCACCACTTCTGTTCAACGCAGTGCTGGAAGTCCTAGTTTTCATTTCATTGAAGAACCAAGTTTTCATCTGGCTCAGAGAGAACCAAGTTTTCAATTTCATTAACTTGCAACCAGGCAAAAGAAAGAAAAAAAGGCATCCAAACTGGAAAAGAGGAAGTCAAATTGTCCCTCTTTGCTAAAGATATGATTTTATATGTTAAAAAAAAAATCGCTAAAGACTTCACCAAAAACTCTTAGATCTGATAAATGCAGTACAGTTGCAGGATACAAAATCAACATACAAAAATAAACATTTCTATACAGTAATGAAAGAACTGAGAAAGAAATCAAGAAGGCAATCCCATTTACAATGACTAAATAAATAAATAAATAAAATACCTAGGAACAGATTTAACTGAGGAGGTTAAAGATCTTTACAAGGAAAACTACAAAACACAGATAAAAGGCATCGAAGAGGATACAAAGGGAAAGGCATCCCATGCTCACAGACTGTAAGAATTATTATTGTTAAAATGACTATACTGCCCAAAGCAATCTAAAAATTCAATATGATCCCTATCAAGATATATAATTTTTCACAGAAATAGAAAAAAAAAATCCTAAAATTATTATGGAACCAAAAAAGACCCCAAATAGCTAATACAACCTGAGCAGAAACAACAAAGCTGGCAGCATCATACTACCTGACTCCAAAATATAAGGTTATAGTAACCAAAACAGCATAGTATTGTTATAAAAACAGGCTCATAGAATAATGGAACAGAATAGAGAGCCCAGAAATAAATCCACACATCTACAGCTAACTGACTTTATTTTACAAAGCTGCCAAGAATATACATTGGAAAAAAGATATCTTCTTCAATAAATGGTGCTGGGAAAACTGAATATCCACATGCAGGAGAATGAAGCTGGACCTCTGCCTCTCACCACATACAAAAATCAAATCAAGATGAATTAAAAACTTAAATGTAAGATCTACAACTACAAAATTACTAGAAAAAAACATCTGGAAAACTCTTTGGGACATTAGTCTAGGCAAAGGTTTAATGGCTAAGAACTCAAAAGCACAGACAATAAAAATAAAAACAGATAAGTAGGACTATATTAAACTAAAAAGTTTGTATACAGCAAAGAAAACAATGAAGTGAAGAGATAACCTGTTGAATGGAAGAAAATATCTACAAACTATATATCTGTAAAGGTACTAATTTCAAGAATATACAAGGAACTCAACTTACCAGCAAAAAACAAATAATCACACTAAAAAGTGGGCAAAAGACATGAACAGACATTTCTCAAAAGACAGCATATAAATGGGAAACAGGTAGAGGAAAAACTGCTCATCACTAATTATCATGGAAATGCACAAAAAGACCACAATGAGATATCAGTTCTTACCCCCAGTTAGAATGGCCATTTTTAGACAAAAAATAATAAATACTGGTAAGGATGTGAAGAAAAGGGAACTCTTATATACTATTGGTGAGAATGTAAATTTGTACAGCCACTATGGAAAACAATATGGAGATTCCTGAAAAAATAAAAAATAGAATTATCTTATGATCCAGCAATCCTACTACTGGGTATTTATTGAAAGGAAAATAAACCAATACATCAAAAAGATATGTACATTCACATATTTATTGAAGCACTATTCACAATAACAAAGGCATGGAATCATCTTAAGTGTCCATCAATGTACAAATGGATAAACAAAACGTGAGGCCAAGTGCAGTGGCTCACGCTTAAAATCTCAATGTTTTGAGAGTCCAGAAGAATCATGTACGGCCATGAGTTCGAATCCAGCGTGGGCAACATAGCAAAACCCTGTTTCTACAAAAAATTAATTTCAAAAACTTAGCTGGACGTTCTGGCACACGCCTGTAGTACCAGATACTTGGGTAGGTGGAGTTGAAGAACTGCTTGCGCCCAGGAGTTCGAGACTGCAGTGAGCTATGATCACGCCACTGCACACCAGCCTGGGTGACAGGCCAAGACCCTCTCTCTAAAAAAAAAAAAAAAAAAAAAAAAAGAAAGAAAAGAAAAACAAAAAAGAAAAAAAATCTAGCACATATATAGACTAGAATACATACAACCATAAAAAGAATAAAATCTTGTCATTTGCAGCAACATGAATGGAACTAGAGGCCATTATATTCAACGAAATAAGCCAAGCAAGAAAGATGAATATCGCATGCTCTTCCTCACGTGTGAGACCTAAAAAAGTTCTCATGGAGGTAGAGAGTAGAATGTTAGATACCAGAGGCTGGAAAAGTGTGTGAGTAGGAGGGAGGATAAAGAGACTTTGGCCAATGAGTATAAGCATACAGTTAGATAGAAGATTTACGTTCCAATATTCAATAGCAGAGTAGGGTGAGTATAGTTCGCAATAGTATACATTTTTCATAGTCACTAGAAGAAAGGACCTAAAATGTTACCAACACACAGAAATAAAACTCAAGATGATGAATACCGCAAATAATGACTTGAGAATCACACAGTCCATGCATGTAACAAAATATCAAATGTACCCCATAAACACATAAAACATTATGTATCAATTTAAAAATTTTACGATAATCAGGGAAGTTTGGATACTGAGTAAATATTTGCTGATATTAAGGAATTACTGGATTTTTTAGGTATGCTATGTGGTTATGTTTTTATAAAGGTTACTTAGTAAAATGTTTATGAAGAAAATGATACTATGTCTGGTATTATCTTCCAAATGATCCAGGGAGTGTGGGGTAAGTGGGTATCCATGAGTTGAAAATTACTGAAACGGAGTGAGTATAAGAGGATTCACTGTACTATTTTCCCTACTTGAGTGATGTTTAAAGTTTTCCATACTAAAAAGTTTAAAAATAAATTGCAGGATAAATTTTTTAAAAACAAGAAGACAATATTATATTCCAGGAATATGGATTGTATATCTCACAGTGAAAATAATTTATTTTAACTGCCTGAGAACCAAACTTACCAGATAGAAGCATGATAGTACCTACAGATGAAGGAAAAAAAAGGATTAAAAATAAAAAATTTGTTAAAGTCATTGATTTGCTAGCAATTTCATATACTATCAATAAACTATGCTTGAAAACTTAAAAGCAACTCAAATTTCCATAATTCTAAATTTATGAAAACAGTTACATATTATTAACTTAACCGAGTATAATATAAACATTATTATATCTGTTCAACAGAATCAACACTGTAAATATAAACGATGATAAAGAGTTACTGAACACCAAAACAAACACCATTTAAATTTGGTTTTAAGACTTGAGGGCAAGAAACAGGTTTGAAAACTTAAACAGTAAATAATTGCTGACCCAATCCTACTATCAAGAAACCATAAGAAGCCTAAGTCCCTTTCAACAGACCATATCAAAACTCAAAACTGTCATATCACCTTATTATTTATATATTTGAGTGACTATGGGTGAAGCATTGCAAAAATAAATTTACTTTCATACAAGCATATTTATAACAATAAATAAGCTGCTCTCCTAAGTGAGGTGAACACATTTACTCAGAGTACTGTTTAGAACAGGCAATATACTCAGCCAAAAAAATGCAGGATGAAACTGTATATAAACTGTATGAATTAATCTCTAAGCCTCTAATTCCTCATCTAAAAAATGAAACTAAAGATACTTTGCAAGGTTGTGGTATGGATGAGTGGCATCAAATAGAAGGTAAATGGAACATGTCATTATCTATTCAGTAAGTGGTCGCTACAATTTTTTTTTCAATAAGAGTCAAATATGGCATATTATATTGTGCCCTGAAAGAGTATATTAATTGTATCTAAGAGTAAATTTTGATTCCAAGCATTGATATTTTTATCAATTTGTTAAATTATCTTACATTTTTTTACAGAAGGAAATATGTCAATAAACTTAGTTCTATAACAAATTTATAAGTGATGCCGATTTCTCTTTGTCTTACCCTAGTAAAAACTGGATGTATTCAACCTAGGAATTTTAGACCAAGAGATGTCATAAAATTTTAAAGTAAAAATCCCCATAAAGAATTAAAATTAGTGAACTGAATCTAAATCAATCAATATAAGCCATGAAACCAGTGCTGAGTGCTAAAAGTTAGATAATGAAACATATACAGTGTCTGTAAATTATTTTTAAAATATGAAACAATATTATGTACTACTTACGGATACATACATGGAGTATAAAAATGAAAACAGACAGGAAGTAAGCACATTGGCTTCAGGGCAGTAATTGCCTCAGAGGGAGAAAAATGGGCTGGGGAAATGTATTAGGGAACTTTAACAATAACATCCATGATGTAATTCTTAAAAATATCCAGGTGTTGGCAAAATAGGCTTCAAGGTAACAGTTATGAAATGTATAAAATCATTTTGAAAATATAGTCATAAGGGGTAAAACTATAGATACAACACAATTATTTGGTGCCACTGGGAAGCTATCATTTACAGAGCCTTGTAATAATACAAACTATTTGAAAGAATCTCTGTATTTTCAATTACGTAGATGACACTATTGAGATGCTTTACCAAATCTGCAACTGTAGGGAATCTGGAAAGATTCCTTAGCATGCTTTGAGGGATGGGACTCTATTAATGAACTAGACCCAGGACTCAACCTTAAAGACAGCACATATTTGGTTCTTTGAAGAAGTCTTGAAGTATTCGACGACTCCCTAAAGCTATTACAGAAAACAGTATTTCTTTGCCAATCTTAATCTAACATTTTTTAATGGGGCCACAGTCTTTTTCTCTATTATTGTAAATGTTTCTTTTTTTAAAAATTTGCCCTAGTACAATCCAAGTCCACCCCCAAAGAAAGTAAAAAGTATTAGTATGAAAAACCCTGTCTATAATAAATTAGAGACCATTTAATCCTGCAATCTTGGTCAAGTTCATATTTCCACCATAGCACATTAGATCCTGAACAGTGTCAACTGACCTGAACTGGTTCCACTTCCTTTACTTGGGGTTGTTTCATGAGAAGGCTTGGTTGTCCTAGAAACAGATGTACTCTGTGTTGCTGTAATATGAGCAGAAGAGAATCTTTGTGTACTCTTGAGACCATTAGGCACTGGGGAATATACATTAGAAGACTTTTGTGTTGCTGGAAGACTCTGCGTAAATGGAGCTTTTGCTGTGGTCAATCTTTGGTCTGTTAGTGTGGTCTGCATAGCAGAGGCATTTGTCATTTTGGGATTCTGAGCTGCAGGAGGGGTCCTTGTAGATAAGGTTTTTGATATGAGAGATGTCTGAGCTGCTGCTGGGGCTTTGGTGGCTGAATCATTTGCTCTGCTGGGTTTTTGAGCAATTGGTGGGACGCCTGTAGCTGAAACATGTACTGTGGTGTGTCTTTGAGGTGTCGATGAGATTCCTGTACCTGGAACATTTACTGTGGTACGTTTTTGAGATACTGATGAAAATCCTGTAGCTGGAACATTTATTGTGGTGGGTTTCTGAAGTGCTGGTGTGGCTACTGTGGCTGAGACATTTACTGTGGTGAGTTTCTGAGTTGGTGGGGTTCTTATAGTGGAAACATTTACTGTGGTGTGTTTTTGAAGAACTGATGGAGTTTCTGTACCTTGAGTATTTGCTGTGGTAGTTTTCTGAAAAGTTGAAGTTTTCTGAGAAGCTGAAGTTTTCTGAGAAGTTGATGAAGCTTTTGTAGTTGGAACATTTACTGTGGTAGATTTCTGAACTGTTGGTGGGGCCATGGAAGTTACAGATTTTCCTGTGAAGGAAAAGGTTAAGAAATAAGTTAGCTGAATACTGCTGGCCACGTTAAGATTGTTAGCCATTACTTGCTCTGTGGCTATCCTCTCTCTCTTCCCACAAACACCTAGGTATGACTTTCAGGAAACCAAGTCTTATTGTATATTTCTCAAGGAGTTGAAACGCTAAATTGCTTTGCTTTGATATAAATTATACCTACGAGTGACTAAAGCAGACTTGGTAACAAATTATGCTGAGCTGCTTAAGCTGCTTCTTGTGAAATAAATCAAACTTAGAGTCACTCCTGATCTTACTCTGTGGCACGTCTCTACTTTCTCTCCCAAGTTATCTTTTGTGGCTAATACTAAAGCACAACAGGATGTAGTCACTAGGCCAACAGAGACAATCACAGCGAGGCTACCTTTTCCATCGCTTTTAGGAAACCTTAATGATCATGATAACTTGCTCTGCTTCACTTCTTTATTAAAGTAATGCTTGAGTCTGAATAAAAATAACTTCTTTTACTTCTCTTGTGATGGTTAGCAACTTTCCATACATTAGTTCCTCTTTAGATTTCAGACTTGTTCAACAAGTCTGATGAAACTTTCCTAAAAACATATTCTGAAAAGCACAAATCTAACAGCAGGGCAACTTTTTAGGTCTTCAGAGTCAATCTGCCATTGGGTTGCTTATACAAAGTCCCTGTTGAGGCAGTATTGAGTAGTGCCGATGCCTGATTTCACCACATACTAGTGACTAACCCCTCTAAGCTATAGTTTCCTCAACTGCAAAATGAGGATAGAAGCTGAACAGACTGCATAATTATAAGAATTAAGGTAAATAACTGGGTAAGCTATTTCATAGTGTCTATCCCTAAAACAAGAGATTACAACATCCAGGATGACTGTTGACAGCCCCATCACAAACGGGATGCCCTAGGAACTCAGAGGGTGTTGGTTGTTTTTTCTGCCTCCTTACCTATCTCACAGGCTGCTGTAAGGGATAAATCCTAGCAGGTAAAATGCCTAGCAGGTAACATAGCAGGTAACACAGGTAAAATGCCTAGCAGGTAACACAGCATTTAGCAGGCACTCAAACAATGATAATTATTATTAGGATAAGTTTTTGTATGAACCTTTCATTCTAAGGCCCTCCTATACAAAAATTATTCTTTGTTCTATCAAGTTAGTTCTCAGTTTTGACCCAGAGGATTTATATACTACCTTAGAGTTTAAATTTCTTAGAAATTAATTTATTAGTTATCTTTTCGTTACTGATATCTAGTTTAATTGCACTGTGACTAGGAGGTATGCTCTGAGTAACTTCAATCTTTTGCAATGTATTGTAGCTTAGAGCCCCACATATGGTCAATTTTGCTAAATATCCCATGTGTACTTGAAAAAAAATACTGGCCACTGGTCCTAATGAGGTTCAATGCTCTTATATGCATCTATGTTTAATTGTTGCTCAGATCTTCTTTAGTCTCACTGATTTTTGGCTGCTCGTCCTATTAGCTATTGAGACAGGTGTGGAATTCTCCAACTGTGAGTGTGTATTTATCTGTTCTTCTGTCCATTTTTGCTACATATAGACTGCAGCTATTTTATCTAGTATATATAGATTCTGGATTGTGATATATTACTGTTGAGTTGGCCTCCTTGTCATTATGAGCTGTTTCATCTTAAAATATACATTGATCTTAATGTAACTATGTCAGCTTATTTTGAAGGGTTAAAGTTTGCATGGCATATTTTTCCATCCTTTACTTTCAACTATTCTGTGTTCTTGTTATTAAATTGTATCTCTTGTAAATAGTAAATAACTAGGTTCCTTTTAAAATCTAGTCTGACAATCTTGGTCAAATTACCCTTAATGTAATTACTGACATACATGGGTTTATATCAACCACCTTATTAGTTTTCTATGTCACCCATCTATTTTGTGTTCCTTTCTGCTTCTCTCTTTCTCGTTCTCTTTTGAAATATCCATTATCATTCTTTTAGTAGGTTATGTATTTATGCATTCTTCTGTCATTCGTTTGTAGCAATCCTAGAGATCACAATATTTATTAGACTATAAGTCAATCATGCAAACTATCACTTTTACCACTTTGTCAGTACTGCTAGAACAGTGTAACTTTTAAATGAATTTCCCTCTTTCTGCCTTTTGCATTATTGTTATTATGCATTTGTATTCTGTGTATAATTCAGACCCCATAGGACATTACATTCACTGTTTGTAAACTCAGTATTCATTTACCCTTGTCAGTGTTCATTTCCTCTTGTATTTTCATGTTTTATCTGGAATTACTTTCATTCTACTTGAAGAATTTCCTTTAGTTTTTCATTCTGTGCATGTTTGGTCTGCTAATGCAAAGTTTTCTTGGTTTTTGTCTGAATACATCCTTCTTTTGCATTCAGTTTTGAATGACATATTAATTGGGTGTAGAATTCTGGGTGAGCAGTAATTTTCTTACAGTATTTTAAAGATTTTTTTCTTATTGTCTTGGCTTGCATCATTTTTTGCTGAGAAGTCAGTGATCAGTTTTACTGTTGCTTCTTTGAAGATTTTTGTTTGTTTGTTTTTGCTATGAGGTGCCTTAAAGTGGTTTTCTTTTTATTCAGCTTAGTCAGAGACCTTCTTGAACATGTTGGCTAATGTATTTTATCAATTTTGGAAAATTCTGAGTAAGTATCATTTAAAATATTTCTTCTGCTCCTATTTCTCTACTCTTCATCTCTTCCTTTTTGTCTCTTTCTCTCTCCTTTTTCTAACATGTGTTAGAACAGTTTAACATGTCTCAAATTTTTATCTATATTTCACACTCCTTTTTCTCTTTGTGAATCAGTTTAGGTAGGTATTTTTAACTGATCTGTCTTCCAGTTCCTAACACTGTTTCCTGCTCTGTCTGAATCACTGCTAAACCTACCTATTGTGTTCTTAATTTCAGATCTTTTCCAGTTGTAGAATATCAGATTCCAATTCTCTATTGAAGTTCTCTTTTCTTTTATCATCTTAAACATGTTAATTAGTTATTTTAAAGTCCTCATTTGCAAACTCATCTGGATATTCTTTATTTGGTTTTGTTTTCTCTTGATTTGGCCATATTTTCTTTCTTCCTTCCATATCTAACAGTCCTTTTATTGTATGTCAAACATTATATAATAAAACATCCAGATGATGATATGATATGCCTTCCTGATAAGCAGACTGCATTGAGGTAATCATATCTTTAACCTAGTAGGAATTGAACTGGGTTCCAGTTTCAGTAAGACTCTATCTACCTCTGCTCTTGCCTCCATTTCTTGAGAGTGGCCCTTCTGGGCTTCTGACTGAAAGCCTCGTGGATCTTTATTATTTCACCCTTGGAAGATGGCAGGAGATTCAGGTCTATCCTTCAGAGTTTCCCCAGTCCAGCCATCTAATGTCCTTCCCCTTTACAGTTTCAAAATAAGCACCGATGTGCTAACAGGGAGACCTGTAGTATGCTATATAAAAGTCTGTTCCTCTGATAGGTATATGCTATCCAAATACCATCAAGTTCTGAGAGATATCATTTTATACTTTAGAAGCTTTGGGTCAAGCTTCCCAGCCTCATATGCAGCCCCCCAAATTAGCAAATGGCCTTTAGGAAAAATCGGTTTTGCATTTGAGGACTTCAATTTGCAGTGCATTACCCTATCCTTCCACAACCATTAAAGCTTTGCTGGTTTCTCTTTCCTGTAAGTAGTCTTTTGTCTGGGTCAGAGTGGATCCTTAGTCCAGGTTCAGAATCAGCAAATGTCCCTAGAGAAAACTGGCTTACTTCAGAATGGGTTGCCTTCACCCCTCTGCCCCCAGGAATTTTAGTTCATTCAGAACTTGTTGCTTCCACAGCTGTATCTTACACCTTTAAAAATATAATTTTTTGGTAATCTATTCAGATATTATAGTTGTTTTAATGGAAGCATTAGCCTGCCATGACCTACTTGGGTACTTCCATACGGTTTTTAAGCTCTAAGTAACGATCATTTAAAAAAATAGAAAAAATCAATATGAACTGGATCAAATGGCCAAATTTTAAAAGCGCACACACCAAACTTCATCATAATTAAATGAATTCAAATAATAAAAGTTTTACTGCCTACACTGTCAAATCTCCATAACAATTATTATCATTAAAGGTGCAAACAGCATAATGATGTAATATTAGTGGGAGACTAATAGGTACAGTCTTTTAAAAAGCAATGTTACTAACAGCTATGAAAAATGTAATTCACATATCTTTGTTACAATTATACTGCAAGGAATTTATTGTACAAATGTACTTGCATACATGTGGAGTGAGAGATGTACAAGAATATTATGGCATCATTTGCAATAATAGCTCATAAAAGAAAACCAGAACAAAAAACCTAAATTGCCATCAATAGAGGAGTGGTTAGATGAATGAATGCCCACACTATTTACGTGACAAATAAAAAATATTTGTATTTTTATTTATAGTCTAAAATAAAGCACAAGAATTTATAAAAAATAGTTACCTCTCAGAGCAGGACTAGTGATAGAGACTTTCACTTCTCATTTTGTACTCATCTCCATGGCTTTAATATTGTCATTATGTCTATATATGACACTTATAATAAAAAAACTATTTTAATAAGGAATTTCTAAAATTCATACTAATAAAATTTCAATTATAATTATAAAAGTAAATACTCAAATGCTTCAGTCATGCTGGCATTCACCACTACTTAAACAAATGCCTCCGACTGATACTAGGCAATAAATAGTTAGTACAGTGTCACTAATCTTCTAAATATTTCTTTTAAAATATATTTAAAGAGCAGTTCTAAGGATTCTGAGAGTACCATCTGGGTATAAAAAGACATTGAAAGACTAGAAGGATGAAAGAGAATGGATAGTAATAGAAATTTTGGAGGCAGAATATAATTGAATGTTAATTCAGTGAAGTTAACAGATGGCAAGAGTTTCTCAGTTGTTGCAACAAGTATGATCACTATCTAGAACCCTCAGTTCAATCTAAGATTCTCCCTTCAATTTAATAAACCACTTCATATGCTCTTTGTATAAACAAAGCACCTATATTAACTTACTGAAAGCAAATGGTATAAAACAGCAAATTTAAGCAAATTCACCAAAATTACGAGGCCCATTTTATATATACACATCATATATACATGTGTGTGTGTCAGTGTGTGTATACCAGCCAAAGACCTTTCTGAGAAGCTTTAGAAAAACTGTGTCCCCAAGAACAGAAAACCAAACACTGCATGTTCTCACTCATAGGTGGGTGTTGAACAATGAGAACACATGGACTCAGGGAGAGGAGCATCACATACAGGGGGCAGTTGGGAGGGGGTTAGGGGAGGGACAGCAGGGGGTGGGGAGGGATAACATGGGGAGAAATGCCTGATATAGATGAAGGGGGCATAGAGGCAGCAAACCACCTGGTTATGTATGCACCTATGCAACAACCCTGCATGACTTGCACATGTACTCCAGAACCTAAAGTAAAATTAAAAAAAAAAAAAAAATTGTGTCCCACAGAAAAACACAAGTATGCAGATGTAAACATTTTACAGTTTTTTCTTAGGGAGTTCATAGAATGTCTGCAACCCACATATATACCTAAAGGTAGCAATAAAGCAATTATCCAAACTGATTACCTTTGCATACAGGTGGTGGGCCACTCCATTCTCCTTCTTCACCATTCACAGTACAATAAATAGAGTTGTGTCCAATCATGGTGAATCCTCTATTACATAAATATGTTACAGACTGTCTGTGTACATAATGGTCACGTTCCCCTTCAATTATTCCATTGTCAATTCTTGGTGGTGCTGGACAATAAATTTCTTAAAAAACAATTCAAACATCTTTTAAATAAATAAAACTAGTATTTTTACAAATAAGGTGAAAACAAGTTAAAGATTATATTTTTAAAAAGTCAAAATATAATTTTTCTAAATTCAGCATTATCAACAAGAGATGCTTATAAATACCTATTAAGTAACTGGTAGTATATTGGAACTTTGAATGCAAATGGCGTAGAAGACAAATGCTAACCCTGAGACCAATTCAGAGAAATACTAAGATTCAGAACATGTATGTAAAAGAAAAATTATAAGATTTGAACATACCAAAATGATGCTAGGAAAAGTAAATGCTGCAGGGGCTTAGTGATAAAAGCAGTGTAGTCAGAGAAGACTTTGGCAGGGAAATAGAACTTGAGTTTAAACCTAATAGGTAGCATTATTTTAAGAAAGAACAGAGAAGAGAGCATTGCTCTTCACTCTAAGAGGGAAATGATAGCAAATGCAAGGAGCTGAAAATTCAAGCAGCATGCTTAAGAACTTAGTACAGATCATTTTGGATAGAGCAAGTATCTTAAATGTGAGGATTACATTTTGATTTCTAAAGAAAAAAATTTTAGCACATATTGACTCACAGAGGCTTTAATTCAAAATAATCTTACTGAGCAGCTAAACTTATAAAATAAATACAAGCAGAGTTTTTTTTTTTTTTTAGTTATACTGTAAAAAGGGACCACTCTGTGGCAGCTGCCCTGAGAAAAAAATTCAAGAGTTCCACATGCTCTAGAGGCATGAAGTTTTTTTTTTTTTTTTTTTTTTTTAAAGAATGAAGGCAATTAAATATGTGTATATGTCAAATTATGTTACATCAAACATACTTAAGAACACAGAGAATAGCCAGCACATTTATAAATCAATCACTTTAGGTGTTGGATCAAAACAAGCAGCAAGAACAAGCTGTTCTGATTTACAGTAACTTAGGGTGTGCAGGGACACATGTACCATCGGTTCAGTTCAAACATTTTCTGAGCACCTAACACAAGCAAGGCATTTTTCTGTAATTGGAAGTGCAAAGCTGAACAAGATATATAGCTCCTATGTCTTAAAAGCTAGTAGGAAAAGAGATTCAGAGATAATTTCAATTACAAAATGCAAGGGTTATCATAGAAGTAGCCAGCCTGGAAATCTTCCTGATGGGCTAGAGAACTAATTATTAGTAAGGAAAATATAGCTAAGTAGAGACAGGCAGCCAGCTATGGTGGTTCACACCTGTAATCCCAGCACTTTGGGAGGCCAAGGTGGGTAGACTGCTTGAGCCCAGGAGTTTAAGACCAGCCTGGGCAACATGAGGAAGCTCTGTCTATGGAAAAAAAAAATAACACACACACACAAACAAATTAGCTGGGCATGGTGGTGTGCACCTGTAGTCCCAGCTACAAGGGAGGCTGAGGTGGGAGGATCACTTGGGCTGAGGAGGTTGAGGCTGCAACCACTGCACTTCAGCCTGGGCAACAGAGTGAGACCTTGTCTCAATTTTAAAAAAAAGAAAGAAAAGGAAAAAAGGGTATATGGAAACCACAAGCAGTTTGCATGTATAAAGCATAAAACATGAGGGCAAGACATGAGTGTCAAGCAGTAGGTAGACCATGGCTGCCTTGTACACTATACTAAGGAGTTTGGGCTTTGTAAGTGATGGAAGATATGAATAAGCTCTAAGGAGGAAATAGACAAGTCACATCTGTGTTTCAGATTGCTCTGGATAAAATATGCATGAAACATTAATAGAGTAAAAGAATGGAGGCAGGAATCTTATTTCCACTGCCACTTGTTTTAGGATATGTGATCAAGTCTCATAGACCCTCTGATTGACAGTACTTTCTTACAGAAAATTGTAGGGTGGAAATCTTTTACCTATCATACTTGACTTTAGAAGTAATGGTTAGACAACAAATGACCAAGTCCAATAGAAACCCTAAGTTTGTTTTTAATCCTCATTCTATAGTTCAGGAACTGGGACTCATAAAACTTGATGGTTTATCCTCGCAGCTAATAAATTGAGAAGCATCACTAGAAAAGGTCTTAAAATGAGCAAAGCACTCATATATTGAAAGGTGGGTTGGCTACAAATACACACTGTGCTAATTCTTAATGGGCAAAAATTAATTTATCATTGAGCACTCACCTGAGTGCTTAGATTTTTTAAAATCTTACCTCTGCACTCTGGCAATGGGTCACTCCACTGAACAGAGTTGCCTGAGACAAGACAAAGACTAGTAGTCTCGCCATATAATTTGTACCTGAAGCAACAGGGGAAGAGAAATAGTTTGTTACATTCACACATATTTGACTTTCCTCAAATTCTCCAGGTTATTATCTTAAAATATTGACTATAGCAGTAGGTGAAGATAAAACAGTAGGTGATAAAAGTCCACACAGTAGTTTAAAGGAAAAAAAAATTAAGTTTAAAAAGGTGACATCCAAAGAGTAAAAATGGGTAAGACATGCACATTTTTTATGTGCATGGAGAATGTGTTAGAATACACGAAGTGTTTTAAAACATTTTTAAATGACATAGATGATTGAACATTTTATACTTCTGAGTTCTAAACATAGGCTTCATAGAATATACTTATATTTAAAGAGTTCAAAGTACTTCCCAGATTTTATGTTTGTGACCTAACCAACACCTGTGTTTCATATAGGAGACAAGTGATACTGATCTTTTTATTTTATAAAGAATAGGGACACACAGTAAAATAGAATAATTTACAGATGTGACACAAAAAAATAAATATAAAGTTTTCAACAGTGTCTGAGACACTGATGGTACTCAATGAGTGAGTTCCTTTTTCCTATATAGAGAACTTATCAAAGAACTTAGTTTAGAATATTTTCACACTAGGAATGTCTTTAACTCATGCTGTTTTGTAACAGCTTGTTTGCATATAGATAAACTCATAAGCAAATTCATTATTTAGGTCAATTAAAGACTGGTTTAGTATTTAACATTTGAAGAATTATTTCTGCAAGTAACGTCATCTCAAATTTTTTATTAATCACATTTAAATTTTTTTATTGAATCACATATGGACTGAAATCAGAAATTAGAGAATTTGGTGGTATAAGAAATCTTCCTTTCTTGCCCCATTTTACTAAACTTAACTGTGAGGAGCTCATGATGAAGGGTCTTTGAGGAGAGGGATTGTTTTAATTGCTACTAGCTATGAATACCAGTCATGAAACTAACAATCTCATCTTAAATCCTAATTTGTTTTCTCATTTCCTAAATACAGGGTTTTAATATGCCCAAACTTACCCTGGGTTACAAGAGAAGGTGATGGAAGCACCAAATAATATGCCATCTGGTATGTCAATGTGACCATTTAGTAGTTCTCCAGGATTACGGCACGATTGCTCTAGAATAGAATACAAACAGATTTTTTAAATTAAATTATCAGGCATACAAACAAAGAAGGTAACTATGTGAGGTGGTGGATATATTAATTCACTTGACTGTGTTAATCATTTCACAATGTGGACATATATCAAAACATCATGTTGTACAACTAAAATTTGTCAATAATACTTCAATAAAACTGGGGAAAAATTTGAAAAAATTATCAAATATCATCATCTGAACCATTGATATTTCTCACCCTTAAACTTCTTTTTTAAATTATTATTATTTTTCAGATGGAGCTTCACTCTGTTGCTCAGGCTGGGGTGTGGTGACATAATTTTAGCTCACTGCAACCTCTGCCTCCTGGGTTCAAGGGATTCCCCTACCTCAGCCTCCCAAGAAGCTGGGATGACAGGTGTGCACCACCACACCCAGCTAATTTTTGTATCTTTAGTAGTCAGGGTTTCATCACGTTGGCCAGGCTGGTCTCAATCCCTGGATCTCAAGTGGTCCACTTTCCTTGCCTTCCCAAAGTGCTGGGATTACAGGCATGAGCCACCATGCCCGACCATTAGTCTTCTTTAATTTGAATTTCACTTTATAATAAGTTTTGAAAAAGCAACATATTTAGAATATATATGTGTTTTATTTTAGGTAACCTCCAACTAATTAAATATGAAATTTTCTAGTGAATAGGTATTCCTACCACATAAATAGTTTGTCTAATTCAAAATAAATTAACACTCATGGTCCTATCAAGAAATATCCTAAATAATAAATAGTATATACATACAGAGTTCTAGCATGAACGAAGGAAGGAATACTATTTCCCCCAAACACCAGATGGTTGGAAACGCTTTTTAAAAATTTTACTTACTTTTACAAAATTCAGGTGCTGTGGACCATGTTAAATTCTGAAGGCAAGTTACGTTTCTTGGTAGAAAAGGGACTCTTCTGTAACCTGGACGGCAGTCATATTCTATAACAGTACCGACTGGAAAATAATTCTGACTGACATAAGGCGGTCTGAGGGCTGCAAAACTTAGTCTGGGTGGTGCACTGCAGCTACCTGAAAGTATTAACAAAAGCAATAACAAAAAAAGTAGTATTTTGTTTTATAATCTATGTTTAATTAATTGGACCCTAAATCACCCTTCTTTACTGCTTTGTACATATTTGGTATTTAACTATATTAATATCACCATGGCACTTGCAATCTATCAGATGTATTCACATGTATACTTGATTTCCTAGTTACCAGAGGTTTAGAAAGTAGAGCTGGCACACAGATATCACTATCCCCACTTTAAAAAAGTAATAATAATATTTAAGTTCTCTGGCATTTTATAAATGTTGATTTCTTTATCCTGCCCTAAAGAACTACACAGCACCATATAGTACAGGGATAGGGCATTTCCAGACCCCTGGACTAATGTCCTGCACAACAACAGCAATAGCAGCTAATATTGATGGAACACTTCTAAATGTTTTACACTTAAACTCATTTAATTCCCATAAGCCCTGGGGTCGAGGATCAGATGAGTCAACTGCATACGTAGAGTATTTACATCTGTAAACAGCTGGGCAAATGTGAATCTAGAGAGGCATGGTCAAGTGGAAGGGTCATTGGATTTGCAGTCAGAAGGCCCGAGTTTACACGTCGGTTTTGGTATAAAAGCTGCTGCTCTTGAGGAAGTTATTTAACTACTAGGACCTGTCTCCTCCACTATAAAATGAGGATAAGAGCCCCAACTTACCTCATGAGGTTGTTTAAGGATTGGATAAAGTAATAATATGGGGAAGAGTTATCAATTCTAAACCATGATACATGTGCAAAGACTATGTACTTGATCCTACTGCCTCTATCGTGGATAATAATAAAAAGTTAAAGCCTATTTTATGCGTCGCTTCTGAGTATTTGTGGCAATTTCTATATTTACTGTAGCTTCCATTGATCTAAGTTGTTCAAAGTCGGGTTATTGACTATCTTTACCCATATATCTCAAAGCTAATACAGGGCTATGTAAATAACAGATTTTTTTCCTCCAAAATAATGCCAATATATATTTTATGAAACCAAAGGGCACATGAGGTGTGGATGACTGAATGTATATTCACCTAAAACAAGAAATCTTGATCTACTAGATATCTTAATATCAAACACAGTTACTGTGTTAGCCCCAAAACTTCGCTGGGCCTTTTATTTTTAACAATCAATCAATCAGTCTACATATCTGTATCCCAATTTATATATACATACGTCCCTATATATATATATCCCAGTTTATGTATATACACGTATGTTTTCAAAGTAGCAAGAAGAGAAGATTTGGAATATTCTCCACACAAACGCTCAGTGTTTGAGGTGCTGGCTATCCCAGTTACCGTGATTGATCATGACACATTGTATGCATGTGTCAAAATATCACACTTACCCTATAAATATGTACAAGTAGATTTTGAAATAAATATTGAGAGCTTTTAAAAATGCCACCACTGGGCTCTATTTGGCAAGTCCTACTTTACAAAATGATATTTAAGAAAACAGATCACTTATGCTGTGTCTCAAGGCAATTGCCAAATATATTTTATATATTTACTCCCTAAACAATACCTATTGTTTACTACTGTTTCTCTACTAGTTCGTTCAACAGGTACAGTGTTAGGAAGAAAAACTCTTAATGAAGCAGCAGGACCTACTCAGGGAGGAGAATGCCTTCAATTAGCTGGAGTGTGACGTGCCAACAAGGTAAACCTGGGGTTTAAAAACGCTAGAAAACGATCAATTGCTGGTCACTCCAAAGATATATAAAAGTAAATATGAGATACATTCCATTCTCATAACTTTTCTAAAAGGATGAAGAACTTACGATTGCAGAACTCTTCAATATCTGTCCATTGATCGTTCCGACCGCAGATCACAGAGTCCTTCGAGCCAGGAATTTTTACATAGGTTTCATTACATTCGTACCTCACTGCGGTGCCCTCGGGAAAGCTCGTAAGGCCTCCCAAAACTGGCTGGGCATTAGGTACCTCTGGGGGAAGGCCACAGTCACCTACGGAGGCAAAAGCAGAACTGAAGGGAATGACTATCAAGTGTCCTCACAGATGCTGTTTTTAAGACAAGGCCCCTTGAAATGCCACGCCTGAAGGTGACCGCAAGTTTACAGCACCGTGTGCTGCCCGCGGCTGGACTCCGTGTCGAGAGTGGGGAGCGGTCAGCGGTCTGGCCTCCCACCCTTTCAGACCAGCTTTTTCGGGGGGTTAAGGATACACTGTCGTTGAGCCCTCCCTTTCGATTTTCCCAGCTTAGGCGGCTCCGGAAACCCAGCCGGGGACTCTTTAACCCTCCACGCCGACCCCTAAAGCCAAGTCAGCTGGGGGCCGACACAGCACGAGCTCCAATCGCTGGTGAGCGGTGAGAGCCTTAAAGGTACAGGACGGCGGACCCACGACCGCGGGCCACGCTCCCCGCCTGCCAGGTCCCCGGCCCCTGTGTGTGTCTCGGAGACCGACCTGGACCTCCCACCCAGCCCAGGGGCTTCCCCGGCCGCCGGCTCCGGGTCCCCACTCACCCCGCACGGCCGGCAGGCACAGCAGCAGCAGCAGCCCCGGCAGCCCTCCGAGGAGGCGCAGCGCCGCGGGCGCGCTCGGCTGCGCGACAGTCATGGCGCGCGGGGTCAGGACAGGAGACTCCACCACTTCGCAGCAACACCCAGCGGCGCGAGCCAGTTGCAGTGAGCGGCGGCAGCGCCTCGCGGCTCCGCAATACCAGTTAAATGAGCGCTGTGGGCGGGGCCCGGGCCGGGGCTCCGTATCACCAAGGGTGGGACAACGAAGACGGGTGGAGCAGGGCTTTGTTGAGATCAGCGGCCCCGGCGTCCCCTGCCCCTGGGAGCCCTAGACTAGGGGACGACAGCACTGGGAGGGAGAAGGAGCTCTCCGGCAATCCCCGCTGAGACTCACTCTCTCCACTGCTGGGTGGGGCCTGCGATGACCGGCCTTCTGGAAACGTAAATATCTTCTTGCTGCGTAAACACAGACTGGGTGGGAACGGGGGGGGGGAGGGGGGAGGGGGGCCCGAGTATCGCAGGATAAAGATCGCTGGCCTAGCCGCCCCAACCAGAGTTGGTCTAACCGGAGCATCCGCGCGCTTGAGTGCTGCCAAGTCGAGCTGCAGGTGCAGTGGCGTTCCGGGACTGAAACCCGGTCCCTTCCCGGCACCGTGGGCCTTCTCCTGGAAGGTCTGTCCAAGGCCAGCGCGAGGGTGGGGAAATAACTAGGGAGGCAGCGCGTTACCTCCTAGGACATTCTCTAATGTGAAAACAGAGAAACAGGCTGAGTAACACAGCAGGGAGTGAGCATTGTTCACACCTTATTCGGGTGGGAGTTAACTTTCTTCATCTGGGTTCTCCTTATTTACCAAAGACATCACTTTGGGATTACTCCAGCCTGACTGTAGAGAGAAATTCACCTGTATGTCTGTGTGTCTCTGTGTGTGTGTGTTGGGGGGCGGTGGGGTCGGGAAGGGGTGAGATATCAACAGACAGACCCCGAAAAGCTGAATGGTGGTGGGGTGGATTTTTAAGAGGAAGGCTTGTTACAAACCCTTAAGAATAATAGCCTAAGGTTTGCAAGACTGGCCACACGTAAGAATTACGTGGGGAGTCTTTTTTTTTTTTTTTTTTTTTTTTTTTTTTTAAATCCAGAGGCCCAAGCTGCACCTTAGACAAATTAAATCAGCATCTCTGAGGATGGGACTGGGTATCAGGATTAAAGTGCTGTACTGTGCAGCCAGGTTTGAGAACCAGAGACCTGTATGGTACTGGTCAGAGAAAAGATCTAGCCAGCCCACGAACACCCCTGTTGTGGGAAGTAGAAAAGTTTCTTCTTAAAATTTCCTTTCTTGTTAAAGAATAAGTGTGCTTTAAGTCCTATCCTGTGTTAAACATGCCACACTTACAGGTACGTAGTACATTCTATGTCCTTGTACTTTAACCAAGATATGTGTGCTCACAGGCATATCCCAGCTCTCCATTGCTTTTACCTGTTTAGAAAAGTTTTAAGTTATTAGCCACTCGGGTTTTAGTTTAGATTGTGTGGTCTGGCTCCAGCCAACGGAGATCAGACACAGCAGTAAGGACAACCCCAAAAGCGTAAGAAAGAAATGTGCCTGTTTTCCTTTATTCATTGTACTCTTGTGGCATGTTGCCTAGCTAGCTAGGGTACTCTTCCTGCAGTCCACGAAGTAAAAATGCCTTGCTGAAAGATCCCTTGTCTCAGTGCTAATTTTTCTTTGCGGCACTGAGCATCCATTTCCAACACCTGTCAAAAACAGAAAGGATATAGGTGGCAAGGTGGGTTTCCCACCTTCATAAAGAATAGCTTCAAAAACATGTTTGCCTATAGTAATTTATCTGTGTCTGGCTAGCAGAGCCCCAGCCTAGATTCCTTTTCCCTTAAATGCCTTACCTGGCTAAGTGAAATTTCTTACTTGGAATTATACTTTGCTCCATGGACCAGCTGTGGGGGTATTTGTATTCTTCCCGGAAGGTTTCTTGATAACTCTTTACTCTTTACGTTGGTATGAGCTTTATAAGGAGGAAAACAACAATTTTCAACCATAGTGTTTTCTTTGACCCATTCTCACTGTGTAGAACCAAACCCTATGTTGCCCATTGCTGGAGCCAATTCTCCAGTGATTCCAAGTAAAGGACTACTGTAGGATTTCACTGAAACCTAACAATATTTGAACATTTTAGAGTTTAGAAGTTAGGGTGCAGGGCTTTTACAACCATCTAGAGTCATCCTCATTTAATGTTAAAATATCTTACTTTTACTCCCATATTAGAAATAAAAACACAAGGTATGTCAGGACCCGGCATAGTACTAGCTCTTCATTTATTCCACCTAATAACCTCCAATAACCTTTACCACCACTCCCTTCTGTCCTGCCTTTAGAAATAGGTCATCTTCATTCCTGCTTGGGCTCACAGAATTGGTGTGAAAGGCAAGGTAGCATTATGAAAAGACAGGTTCAAGTAAGACCAGTTATACAGCTGTCAGAAGACTTAACATTGAAGCCTGTTAAAGCTCTACGTGTTTATTATGTGACTGTCATAGCTTTTTTTTGCAGAGAAAACAATGAGCTCTGCAAAGTGTCAAAAATATTATCTCTGTCACCCAGCTTAGTGACACTGAATGGCCTAAGCATCCACCTTCCAGAATACTTAGTTCTTGGCAATACCTTTTTTTAAAAGGAAAGTTTGGCCAGGCCTGGTGGCTTATGCGTGTAATCTCAGCACTTTGGGAGGCCAAGGCAGGTGGATCACCTGAGGTTGGGAGTTCCAGACTAGCCTGGTTGACATGGTGAAACATCGTTTCTACTAAAAATACAAAAAATTAGCCAGGCCTGGTGGTGGACACCTGTAATCCCAGCTACTCGGGAGGCTAATACGGAAGAATCACTTGAACCTGGGAGGCAGAGGTTGCAGTGAGCCAAGATCGTGTCATTGCATTCCAGCCTGGGCGATGAGAGTGAAACTCTGTCTCAAAAAAAAAAAAATTATGAACAAATTATGAACAGTTACTGGATGGAGTCCTAAGTAATAGTTACAACCACCCAAATTTCAACATTCTGAGGGGAAGGAAGCAAAGAAATCCACTATGCATTTACTCAACTTAGAAAGGGGATCTATGATAAAATTTATGTATTCCTAAGAAAAAGCAAATATGTGAATTTGTAACTTACTGAAGATTATTTTAAATAAATAGCCGCATTTGTTGTGTTCCAGTTGCTTTATACACACCATACCATTTCACCAACAATACTCCATGAAGTGACAATAACTACCCACATTTTACAGACAAGGAAACAGGCTGAGAGGCTGTTTACCAAAGTCCATTCACTAACTCGTGACCAGGCCAGAATCTAAACCTAGTTTGATTCAAAAACCTATACTTCTCCTGTCCTACCATACTACTTTCTTTTTATTGGAATCAGCAAAAATTTCTTATGTGCAGAGGACAATGAACTAGGTATTTGGGGAGGTGATTTGGGAACCCAGGGGCTTATGGTGTAAGCAATAGTTCCAAAGCTTCATACTTGATCTACCAGAAACTAGCTATGTGTCTTCAGCTGAGGCACTGTGCCTCTCAAAGGCTTATTTCTGCATTGATAAAAAAGCATTTGGCAGTAAAATAGTCTATATAGAGCTTCCAATTCAAAACAAGCTTATGTAATTAAGTCAAAATACAAAATAGGTTCATGATTTTGTCAGAGCAAAGGACCACGGCTTTTGTCCCAGGAACCACACAATGATGAAATCAAAGACTGTTTAATAAACTTTCTTAGTACACAAAAACACACTAAGTGTCAATACTTGCGTCTGAGAATCTATACTCTAGTAGGGAGGTTTTCCATGATAAATGCTATACAAATGTCACAACCAAAGTGGTATAGGGCTTCAGAAAGGAGAGAAGGCAGCGTGGTAATTGGGGTGGGGAAGGCTAATGGCCTGGTGAGTCAACTAAATATGACAAATATTAATGCAATAGGGCAAAAATAGGGTAAGATACTAACAAAGGTTTGGGGTCAGGAAAAGGCCCATTGATTCCAAGAGCAGTAAAGAGCTTAGGGACAGCATGGAGAACTGAATTGAGGCAATGGAAGAAGAGGCTGAGAGACAGGCTGGGAAGAGACTTGAGAGAGCCTTAAAGACAAGGCCTGTGCCTTTTACACTATTTAGAAGCATTAAAGGACTGTGGACAGTTGTATGGAGGAAGCACATAGGTAATTTGCATAAAAGATGCTGGAATGGGAATGACTGTGTAAGCAAAGATCCAATTTAGCTAACTACGATAGTCCAGGTGTTTAAGATTAGAGAACAAAAATGTGTTTAGTTTTAAAATTACATTAAGGAGTTACAGTCCTGTTGCTCTATAAAACTCCTGATGCAATTGTTATAGACTTTTGAGTTTCCACTCTTGCTCTGACCAAACAAGTTTCAAAGTGATAACCCACAGAATGTGGCAACTAATTAGATAAGGAACAGGGGGGAAAAGATGTTAAAGATGACTTGGAAGTTTGGAATTTGTGAGATTAGGGTCCCTATTTAAAAGAGCTACCCATTCCAGAGTCAGGAGGTAATTTAGGGAAAGAAGAACAAATTCGGCTTTACACTTGTTGAATTTTAAATGCCTTGGCAGAGTGTCTATGGGGAGATGTCCAGCATGTAACTGAAATGGAGGCAAGATTGAGCTGGGGTGGGTGGAGATGTGGCTGCAGGCAAGATTTGAACCAAGGGAGTATGTGAAAATAGAAACGCAGAGTCTCGAGGTATGAGACGTGAGGAGCCCGACGTTCGACAGTACAAATGACAAAGAAAGGGAAATGAGCCGGTAGTGGAAAGGAAAGAGGATTGTGCAGTTTCCTGAAAGCCAAGGGAAACAAAACTGTGAGCAAATATCACCCTCATTGCAAGTGAACCAGCTGGTATTTAGGGAAGTTAAGAAACTAGCCCCAAACTGAATAGCAGTATAGGGCAGTAGTACTAGGACTAAGGATCCTAACGCCTCTGTTAGACTGCCCAGGCATCATTCTTTCAGGAAATCTCCCTTGCCATGACATCATGCCTGGTACCTTCCTCTATGCTACCAAAGTACTCAATGTGCCTATCTGTTCCTCACATCTAAGGAGCCAGTTTATTTCATATTTACATTCTAACTCAGCGTAGATTTATTCCCCACTTAACATAAAATGGCCGATGGGGGGGACTTTATATTGAGGCATTTTTGTCATGCAGCTGCAAATACAAGCAATTCTCCTACACAGAATAAGGGTATTTTTTTAAAAATAAATGAAAACAAATGAGTGGACTCTGCTGTTTCTTATACGTGAGTTCTTTTCTCCAATAATTCACCAATCAAGGTATCCGTGTATTGCAGCAGACATGGTAGTTTTTTTCACTAGGCGCAGGATCAGCAGGACCTCGGAAAACA